TAAAATTCTAAACAAAATGGGTAACAGAACAGCATGATAATGGCATATGACTAAACATACGATGAAACTGATTAAGATCCAGAAATAGATGTTAAGTGCCACGGGTGGCAGTGCACAACTGTAAACCCAGCATTTAAGGGGCTGAGGAAGAAGGGTCACCTCAAGTTTAAGGCTGGTCTGAACTACATGGCTAGACCCTGTCTCAAAACAAAACAAAAAAACAAATCCAAAAACCAAGACACAGTATAAGTAATACATGTAAGAATTCAGCGAGTGATGGTAGAAGTATCATCTCCAGTTGAGAAAAGATGAATTATTGATAAATTAACTATATAACTAACTATATGATTTGGAATATATTAAAGACTTAAATTTAATAAATTATATCTGAAAACATCAGGAAAAAAACCTGGAAAAAATTATATAATCTCACAACAGGGAAGACTCTCTAACAGTGATAAAGGACTGATAAATTTCAAAGCAAAAATAAGATACATCAAAAGAAAAAAATATATAATTTATATAGAAGAGTAAGGGCTAATTTTATTTATACAAAGAGAATTCCTACAAGTTTACACTAAGAAAAAGACCAAACACTAAGAAAAAAACAGATAAAAGATCAATTTACAAAAAAGGATGTACAAGTTAGCACAAGCCTGTAATCCCAGAAATCTGAAGCAGGAAAATAATGAGTTCAAACCCAGCATGGAAAACTGAGGAATTTAGCAAAACCTTGCCTCAATGTTTAAAAAAGGGTCTAGGGATGTAGCTCCTACAAAGGCTCTAGGTTTAATCCCAAGTAAAACAAATAAACAAACAGGAGGAAATGGCTCTAAAACAAAATGATATTCAGTTGCTTTCAAAATAGGGGAAATGCAAATCAAATCTACACAGAGACACGAGTTTTCACTGATAGCCTAGATAAAGCTTGGTAACCAGAGCTGTTTGGTGTAGATAATCAACCTGGTCAGCACTGCTGCCTGAAGGGGTCTATCTATAGAGGACCCCTAACAATATCAAAAAATATAAGCACACAGAGTCACTGATCCAGCAATTGCCCATCTAAGAATCTGCACAACTATTTACTGAAGCATCATTCCTAATGGAAAAAAAGTGAAAACAATCCAAACATCTGTTAATAATGAACTGGTTAAATAAAATAAATATTAATGAACTATCATGTAGTTTTGGAAAAATAAAACGAGTTAGAAACAATGAAAAAAAAAAAAAAAAAAAAAAAAAAAAAAAGAACACTACCATCTATAAAAAGGAGGCTAAAAGTGAACAAATACATGTATTTGCACGTATGTATTTCTGGAAAGACACAAGAAAACAGTAATGGCTGCTAGTTATTCAGGGAAAGGAATGGGTAGCTAAGGGTCTGAGGTAAGAAAGAAATTTCATAGTAGAACACCATCTTATACTATTTTCATTTAGAATTGTATGAATGAGCTGCATAATGAAAAATTAAGTTTGCAAAACAGAAAGAAAACATAAAGCTTCTACAATCTTGGGAGGTATAATTAGGCTTATTTTTCTACTTCATCTGCCTGTTCATAAATACAAGGCAAAATATAGACTGAAAACCTATAAAGTTTTTTCCTTTTATATTACAAATATAATTGACCTAAAGAAATGAAAATATAAATAAGTACATCATAAATTACTGAATTCTGAAGATGTCTTTATCTGCTTCAAAAATAGGCTGTATCTCTACTACCATATTGCAAAAATTTGTCAGATTGAACTTCCTGCTTGGAAACAGGAGGAGACTCAGGAAATACAAATCACTATTAGAATAAATGGAGAATAGCTAGGATTTTTTTCTTTTAAAGTTATAACAAGGTAAATTTCACATTCAAAATAAAATATGGGCAGTTAAAATTCCAATTTTTCATTTCTCGTAAAATAGATTTCATACATTCCAGTCTGTATTAACACAAGATTATGCATCTCTGATATTAAAGTTATTCTGCATTATATTTTTTCTTTCTCTTTTCCCTTTCCTCCCACCCTTTCCTTTTGTAAATTTGAAAAATGCACTTTACCAGTAAATCCTACAAAACACATGAACTATGTTTTGCTGCCCATACTGTTTTGTAAAAATGTAATCAGGCGGTTAGATTAAATGACCTAAATGTTCATTATATTCCTTTGGCATTTAGATCTTACCATAGTTTTTCTTAAAAGTTCTCTCTAAAATAAAGATGATAGTTTTTTTGTTTTTGTTTTTGTTTTTGCATAAAATGAAGTATGTGAAGCACTTAGATGGTCTGGCATAGAATAGACACCTAAAAATGGTTTGCCTTTCTAGATTTTAAAAAGTAAATCACCATCAAATAAAATAAATAAACTCTGATTTGACCTCTATTCTGCAGGCCACTGAGTATTTTTCATTTGGAACACCAACATATTTTTAGAAGGCTTCCACAGTAAGAGTGGGGACAGGGAAGACGGTTTAATTTAAAAACACATGAACTTAACCCAAAGAAAACACTTCTAAAAGTTTTCTGATCTCATAGAATCCTACTGAAACAGTAAGTTTCCCAACAATAAATTATCTTCCTCTTTAAAATTTTAAGTGATACAAAAGCAAAATAGTAACAATGACCCCAAGTAAAAAAGACAGTCATTGTAGGAAAGGCAAAAGACTGTTTTACCTCAAAGATAAAAAGATCTTCAAGGCGGCTGAGAGACCACTCTCTTCAAACTGTTTCTGGAATGTGGATACCAAGCACACTAGTGTACTCCTTCCCCAGGACATCCTGACTGCACACAATAGCCACTGACAACAATTGAACTAGGTGGCTATTTCCAAGCATGGAAATTTTACTATCTATAGACACAAATTTCCCTATCTAAGTAATGTTAAATGGCCCTTGTAAACAATCTATTTAAAAACAAATTTGGTTACTAAGCACATTTTTAAAAAGTCATAACAGATGCTATGCATGTTTCCCACTTAGAATCATCTACAGTACATGTTTTTTCCAGTACTCAAAAAAAAAGAAAAAAGAAAAAAAAAAAAAAAAAAAAAAAAAAAAAAAAAAAAAAAAAAAAGGAAACCACACAAACAGGATAAATCTATATCATGAAGGGAGGGTGTTAAGTATATGAACTATTTTATTGGTTATGTTTTTATTTTCTCTTTCTGCCTCATTCCTTCAATTTGCCCTTTGCTCTCTCCAAATAAGAGTATGGACACCAACTGTCATGTTTTATATTTACTAGATGCCCCCTAAATCCTCACACATTTGTGGGTGGGGCTTTGGAAAGATAATGGATATAACCAGGACAAGACAAGCATCAGCAGATCAGTGCATTGATAAGTTTATAGCTAACTGTGATTTGGAAGGTGAAGCCTGGAAGGAAGAGGTAGACTGTTGGGGGCATGGCCTGGAAAGGTCTATCTCCTTCCCTCCTCCTTTGATCCCTCTCTGCTTCCTGCTGCCACCAAGCCCCTCTGTTAATGTTACTCTGACTTGGAGTCAGAGACCACAGACTGAAACCTCTACAAACTGTGAGCCAAAAGAAACTCTCCTTATTTAATGTGTGGGTGTTGGGTATTGTGTCTCAGTGATGAGAAAATAATTAAAGACACCAATCTTATCACGTTCTTCATATTCAGAGTTCTTCTTCAGGGACCTCTATGGCAATCCTAACCCTGCCAGTATTCCAGCCCAGTTAATGCCTACATTTGACTTCTGAAACTCAGGATAGGCAACCTGCCTCCCCCAGAGAAATCTTTCTTTTCTTTAATTAACCTCAGATGGGCTGCTTATTGTGTTTCTTTGGAGCCTGTGTATACCTTTATCACAGAACTGATGACTGGCCATGACTTTGTCTTTCTCTGACTCTGCTACCCCACTGTTACCCACAGGTCATTTTCATGGTCCCACTATTTGAATCCATAATGCCATATAAGTGTCATTTTACACTGATGATCACTTCTTAAAACCCTGCACTTTTAAAATTCTATATTTTTCTTCAGATCATCTCCCTACCTACTAAATATTTCTCCAGTTTGTCTATCTTCTCTCTGCCTCCAGGTTTCATATCAGTCTTCTATCTATCCTGCAAACTCTGAATTAATGTCATCCTCTTCCATTACCACTTCTATATCAAAAATTCACAAGCCTGCATCTTCAAATTTCTCTATAATCCTTAATGGTTATCCCATCTTATATTTTATCAAATTGACATCTATTTCCTTTATACAACAACCAACATTACAGTAGTACTACACCTATTTCTGGCTTTAGATCAAGCCTGCAGCCCTTATCAAGACATTATTCCTTTCTCTCTCTCTCTTTGTACCAGGGATTGAATTTAGGACCCTTGTGCTTGCAAGACAAGCAGCAGCACCACTGAGCTAAATCCCTGGCCCAAGACCATTATTTCTAACCACCTCCTAACAGATTTAAATACTCTCTTCATTCTTAATCCTTATTATATATTGAAGCTCAGCATATTAATTGCAATAATATTAAATGGCAAGTCATTTCAGAGGATGTCTCAATTCTTAATTGTTTAAGTGCATAAATGCATTCTGCCATATATATTTTTTCACATACATAACATTTATAATTTTAATTTCATTTTCAGATCTTAAATATTTTTTTCCATTTGGTTGTACAAATTGGAGTTACTACAAATGGCTATTTTCCAACAACACTTATTATGGTCACATATAAAGGATTCCTATACCCTAATAAACTCCCTCAAAAGAGCATGCATTTGTTCATAAAACTAAAATTTTAACATCACTTGTTTGGTTTAAGTACTTTTAGTGTTTGTAGCCAGATAAAAATTTAATTTTTAAGGTGTACTTGTGACTTAGTGGGAATATTTAAATATCAAAGTATATATATACATAGCTCTTTGTTGATTCACACTATATAAATGCCATCAGAGGACATGGCTATACAGTCACTATGAACCAAATTGAGCCACATGAATCTTTTCTGCTCACAGCAACCTACTTTTCATATCTTTCTTACCTTTCACTTTTGCAATAAGTACTTCTGCAGCATTCTGTAGACCAACAAAATTGATGTTCTGATGTTTATTCATTACAGACTTTAAAATACACAGAAGTTCCTCTAGACGTATATGAATGACTTCTTTAAAACAATCTTTAAAAGGAAAAAAAAAAATTTAAATGTGTTTCTAAAGCAAAATTCTGGAAACCTAAGCTACAAAAGATAGAAGCTCATTCAAAAAGAAACACTGGTTCCACAACTTTTGCCTACTACACATTAAATTCTACTTTTACTACAGTAATTATATATACAATTGATAATGCCCTCAGAAAACCCTTAGTCATTTAAATTCATTAAGGATTTCAAAGGCTCTTTCAAGCGTTGTCAATTTACCACAGCAGTACCTTTTTCATTTTTAACCAGATTTTCTGTAAGGAAAATAAGGTGTTTTCTGTCTTACAGTTATTACTATCACATGCTTACACATTCCTGCCTTGACCCAACACTGGGTGGCTTGTACCACTGGTGGCATAAAGTGGTATAGTCATGTATGGAAAGTTACTTATACACCACTGATGGTTCAAGACGCCCAGCAATGAGACATTCAAATTATGCTCTCCTCACCATGGTGAGTATGTTAATGTATGGTAACAAAGCTAAAAGCCCTAAAAAGTCTGATAATATTAAGCAATATTTTTAAAAACACATGTTAATTTTCCACATCAGAACTGATTCTTTATAGTATCAATTACTGGAAACCAGTAATTCACAGGTGCAAACCATTATTTGACCTTCTTATTTTCAAAAGTGTGATATACATTACATAAAATAAAATATATAGATCTTTAATAATACATTTTTGTACTTTTTAGAAAGATGGAATCAGTTGCCAATGATGAAAAGCTAATGGATCATTTAAAAATCCCAGATGATTGCCTCCTCCTGAAAAAATAAGATTTGGTTATACCAAAACCACCTTTCTCCTTGGTCCCAGCAGCTGAAATAAAGAAGTACATTCTTAGAAGCACATTTTTCCCAAGACTCACTAGTCTAACCCCAGAGTACCCAACTCATTTATACCACCCCTGCCCAGAGGAATACAAATAAGAGCTTTACAACCTCTGTACATAAGGTGACCATATAACTTACACTGAAACCAAAATATTTTTTTGAGTAAAAAGAGTGCTTTTCATAATCATGCTAGCACAAGCAGTGTATTTCTGGAACACCATTCCAGGTAAACTCGAATATATAATCACCCTGCCTTTAAAACTCTGAAGTAATCCTCAAAAGTTTGAAAAGATAACCACCTTAAATACAGTATCCTGATATAATTTTATTTCTGCAACCTTCTATAGCACTAGTGTTCAACTGATTAAGTGTTTAACACGTGCTAGGAATTCTCAAAAACATTTAAAGGATGTACTGTCTTATGCAATGTTCACTTTTATCTTATTATGTGATCTAAAAATCCTCATTATACAGATGAGAAAACTGAGGCACACCTAAATTTGCCAAGTTATTAAACAATGGAGCCAGAATTTAAACCTAGGGTGTATTATTGCAGCACTTATGCTCTTAATGCTATACTGTTCCCCTGCTCCAATAACTTAAAAAACAAAATATCTAAAAATATGTTATTTTATGTACACAAATTATTCATTTGTTCAGAAATATTAAGAAAAACTACAGAATAATAAATATAAAATATTCCATCATTATCCATCATATATTCCATCAGTTCACAGCCTTATTGAGAGAGAGGGCTGGGGATTTAGCTCAGTGGTGCTGCCACCTGCCTCCCAAGTGCAAGGTCCTGAATTTGATCCCCAGTACCAAAAGGAAGGAAGGGGGGAGGGAGGGTGAGAGGAAGAGTGGGAAAGGGGGAAAAGGGG